GGATTGGGGGGTTTGGGGAGTTTGGGGGGTTTTGGGGGGTCTGGGGAGGGTCTGGGTTGGGTTGGAGGAGTCTCAGAGGATCTGGGGAGGTCTGGAGAGCGTTTTGGGGGATCTGGGTGGGGTCTGGGGAGGATTTGGGGGGGTCTGGAGAGGATTGGGGAGGATTTGGGGGGTCTGGAGAGTTTGGGGGATCTGGGGAGGGTCTGGAGGGGCTTTGGGGGGATCTGGCGGCTCTTTGGGGCGGCTGTGGGGCGGGTGGCAGGCGGCTCGGTGTCCCAGAGCGGGGCCACCCCCCGGCGCGACACGCGGGGCCCCCCCGGGAGCGCCTGGCCCTGCACGTGCTGAACCTGTGCGAGCTCGTCCCGGAGCACCTGGAGACCCGCGGGCTGCAGAGCCGCGCCCAGCCCGGCCTGGAGCAGGTGACAGCGACACGGGGACAGCGACACCGGGACAGGGACACCGGCGAGAGTGACACCGGGACAGGGACACCGGGACAGCGACACCCGGGGACAGGGACACCGGGACAGGGACACCCAGGGACAGGGACACCGGGACAGGGACACCGGGACAGCGACACCGGGACAGGGACACCGGGACAGGGACACCGGGACAGTGACACCGGGGACAGCGACACGGGGACAGCCACACCCCGGGGAGAGACACACCCCGGGGACAGCCACACCCGGGACAGCCACAGCGGGGAAAGCGACACCCGGGACAGCGACACCGGGCTGGGGGTGTGGTGGGGACTCTGGGGTGACAGGGACACTCGGGGACAGCCACACCCCGGGGACAGCGACACCGGGCTGGGAGTGTGGTGGGGACTCTGGGGTGACAGGGACACTGCAGTGACAGGGACACTGAGGTGGGCGCCAGGGAGCCCCGGAGTGCGTGATGCGGCCGGGGGGTGACAAGGACAGACGCTGGTGGGACAAAGGGACCCCGCGGTGATGAGGAGCCGTGGGGACAGAGAGGGGACACTCGGGGACACTCGGGCCGGTGCCAGCCCGTGCCGCTGTCCCCAGGGCAAGGTGCAGATGTGGGTGGACATTTTCCCCGCCAGCCTCGGTCCCCCCGGGCCCCCGGTGAACATCGACCCCCGCAAGGCCGAGGGGTGAGTGAGGGACAGGGACCAGCCCCGAGGGGACAGGGACCAGCCCGCGGGGACAGCGCCACCCCGTGACACGTCCTGTCCCCTCCCGAGGTACGAGCTGCGCTGCGTGGTGTGGAACGTGCGGGACGCGGACCTTGGCGACGTCAACCTGCTGGGCCAGCGCATGAGTGACATCTACGTGTCGGGGTGTGTCCCCAGCGTGTCCCCTGTCACCCCCCAGTTCTGCCCTGCTCCCCCCAGAGCCTCTGGCACCCACCCGCGGGTCCTTTGTCACCCCAGGGTCCCCAACCCCAGGTCCCTGTCACCCCAGGGTCCCCGTCCATGTGGGCACCGAGGTGACAGCGGTGTCCCCTGGGGGTGGCACAGGTGGCTGGGATGGCACAGAGGTGTCCCAGCTTCTGCCCTGCTCGCCCCAGAGCCTCTGGCACCCACCCGCGGGTCCTTTGTCACCCCAGGGTCCCCAACCCCAGGTCCCTGTCACCCCAGGGTCCCCGTCCATGTGGGCACCGAGGTGACAGCGGTGTCCCCTGGGGGTGGCACGGGGTGACAGCGCTGTCCCCGCAGGTGGCTGGACAGGCTGGGATGGGCACAGAGGTGACAGCGGTGTCCCCTGGCCTCCCAGCTTCTGCCCTGCTCGCCCCAGAGCCTCTGGCACCCACCCGCGGGTCCTTTGTCACCCCAGGGTCCCCAACCCCAGGTCCCTGTCACCCCAGGGTCCCCATCCATGTGGGCACAGAGGTGACAGCGCTGTCCCCGCAGGTGGCTGGACAGGCTGGGATGGGCACAGAGGTGACAGCGGTGTCCCCTGGAGGTGGCATACGGTGATAGCAGTGTCCCCTGGGGGTGGCACAGGTGGCTGGGATGGCACAGAGGTGACAGCGGTGTATCCATGTGGGCACAGAGGTGACAGCGGCGTCCCCGGGGGTGGCACGCGGTGACAGCGCTGTCCCCGCAGGTGGCTGGACGGGCTCCCCGAGCAGCGGCAGCCCTGTCCCCTGGGGTGGCACACGGTGACAGCGCTGTCCCCGCAGGTGGCTGGACGGGCTCCCCGAGCAGCGGCAGCACACCGACATCCACTACCGCTCCCGGAACGGCAGCGGCGCCTTCAACTGGCGCTTCGTGTTCCCCTTCGAGTTCCTGGCGGCCGAGAAGCTCTGCGCCATCCAGCGCAAGGTCAGCCACAGCCGGGGCGGGACAGGCTTGGGGACACGCCTGGGGACACGCCTGGGGACATTCCCTGGGGACACGCCTGGGGACATTCCCTGGGGACACGCGCGACGTTGCCGTGTCCCCGGGCAGGAGCACGTGTGGAGCTTGGACGCGACGCTGCTGAAGGTGCCGCCCAAACTCATCCTGCAGGTGTGGGACAATGACAAGTTCAAGGCGGACGATCTGCTGGGTGAGAGAGCCCGTGTCACCGCCGGGGGGACACCGCGGGGGACAGGGGACAGCCAGTGGGGACAGGGGACTGCCAGTGGGGCAGGGAACGGCCACAGGGGACAGGGAATGGCCACAGGGGACAGGGGACAGGCAGCGGCGACAGGGGACAGTCAGAGGGGACAGGGGACAGCCACCGGGGACAGGGAAAGGCCACAGGGGACAGGAAGCACCCATTAATCATAAGAAGGACCCATTGATGATAAGAAGATTCCGTTGATTGTAAGAAGTTCCCAGTGATGATAAGGAGCTCCCATTGATAAGGAGCTTCCCCAGGTGACAGAGCTGTCCCCTGGCCTGTCCCGCAGGGATCCTGGAGCTGGAGCTGCTGCGGCTGCCCCGCCCGGCCCCCAGCCCCCGCCTGTGCCGGGCCACGCCGCCGGAGCTGCCCTGGCTCTCCTGGCCCTGGCTCTCCTGGCCCTGGCTGTCCCGGGCCTGGCTCTGCCTGCCCCGCTTCTCCCGGGGCTGGCTGGCCCGGGCCTGGCTGTCGCTGCCCCGCTGCTCCCGGGGCTGGCTGCCGGTGGCGCGGCTCTCCCGGCGGCTCTCCCGGCGCTGGTGCCGCGCCCCGGCGCTGCAGCGCTCGCCGCTGAACCTGTTCCGCAGGAGAAGGGCCCGCGGCTGGTGGCCCTGCACCGTGCAGGAGGACGGCGGCCAGCGGCTCTCGGTAGGCTGGGGACGGGCTGGGGACACCCGCGCGGGGCTGGGGACAGCGGGGACAGATCCAGCCGGGCCCCGCAGGGGAAGCTGGAGCTCAGCCTGGAGCTGCTGACGGCGCGGGAGGCGGAGGAGCGGCCGGTGGGGAAGGGCCGGGAGGAGCCCAACAAGCACCCGGCACTGCCCGAGCCCAGGTGAGCCCGGGCCGGGCCAGGAGGGGCCAGCGGGCAGGGCACAGGCGGTGGCTGAGCCCGGTGTCCCCACAGGCGCCCCAAGTCGTCGTTCCTGTGGCTGCGGTCCCCGCTGAGCCTCGTCCTACACGGCATCCGCTGGCGCTACCTGCTGTGGCTCGGCCTGGGGCTGGCGGCGCTCCTGCTGCTGCTGCTGATCCACTCCTTCTTCCCGGTGAGCACCGACCCCCGAGCGCCCCGCTGCCACCCCGGGCGCGCCCTGAGCCCCCCGTGTCCCCCGCAGGGCTCGCTCACGGTGAAGGTGGCTGAGCCGCGCCCGCTCCCGCCGGGCACGGAGCGTCCCGGAGCGCAGCGCTGAGGAGGAACCGCCCGGCCCCGCCATTCCCCGGCTCCGAGCCCCCTCCGGGTGGGCTCGGTGGGTTCTGCGGCCAGGAGGGATGGCCCCGCTCCGGAGCCGCTGTCCATCCACGTTCCCCCCTAACAAAGCCGTGTCCGAGCAGCCCCGGAGCATCGTTCCCGTCTCTGGCGGTCGGGGGGGACACGGACGCGCTGAGCCCAGCCCCGATCCCAAACCCAGCCCTAACTCCAGCCCCAGCTCCAGCTCCAGCTCCCAAATTCCTGCCCGAACCCCGATCCGTCACCAGCCCCCAGCCCAGCGCCAGCCCCGGTCTCCCGGGCGGGGCGGGGAGGGAGGCGGGAGCGGCGCCGGCCCCGCTGCTCCCGGTGCCGGATCGCGGCGGGCCGTGGAGGCGGAGAGCCAGCCGGGCTCCCTGCCCGCCGGGCCGGGCCGGGGGAAGCACGGACGGACACCGGCCGGAGCATCCCCCGGGGCGAGTGCAACGGAGACAGCACCCGCACCGATAATTCCCGGGAATGAGGAGGGCGGAGATCGCCCGGGGAGGGGAAAACGGACACCGGGGCGAGCATCCCGCCGGGACAACAACGACGGACACCGGGGCGAGCATCCCCAGGGGAAACGGGTGCGGCCACCGGCAGCCGTGCCCGCTCCGCACCGGAGCCCTGGGCCGACTGTGCCGGGGCAAGGCCGGGCCCCGGCCGGAGCATCCCGGGGCCGGAGGGCGGAGATGCCCCGGCCCTGCCCCGGCCCCGTCCCTGCCCCGGGCCGAGCCGGACGCTCCCGGTGACCCCCCCGGGGCCGGAGGGCGGAGATGCCCCGAGCCTGTCCCTGCCCTGCCCCAGCCCTGTCCCTGCCCCGGCCCTGCCCCGGCTCTGTCCCTGCCCGGGCCGAGCCGGACGCTCCCGGTGACCGGGCCCGGTGCGCCCCGGCCCCGCCCCGCGGAACCCTCCCAGCCAATCGCATCGCTCCGTCTCGCTCCGGCCCCGCCCCTCATTGTGTCCCAACAATGCAAAACGCGCTATGCCCCGCCCCTCATTGGTGGCGCTCGGCTCCCATTGGCTGCCGCCGAGGGGGCGGGGCTAACCTGACTATATAAAGCGGCTGCGGGGATTGGGGGGTCAGTCCGGTTCCAGCGGCGGAGCGGAGCGGGGGGAGCGCTCGGGACCCCCAACACCGGAGCTCCGGCAGCGCCTCGACCTCGGGACTCCAGCCCGGAGCCCCTCACGGGGGTCGTGGGAGGGATGGGAGGGAGTTGGGAGGGACGGGGATGCGCCGCTTCTCGCCGCCCTTGCGCCTTTTCTCGCCGCCGCCTTCCCGGTACCGGCCCCTCCGACCGGCAGCGGCGCCGCCCCCGGCCCAGGCTCGGCTCCCATTGGCTGCCGCCGAGGGGGCGGGGCTAACCTGACTATATAAAGCGGCGGAGGGGCTTGGGGTCAGTCCGGTTCCAGCGGCGGAGCGGAGCGGGGGGAGCGCTCGGGACCCCCAACACCGGAGCTCCGGCAGCGCCTCGACCTCGGGACTCCAGCCCGGAGCCCCTCACGGGGGTCGTGGGAGGGATGGGAGGGAGTTGGGAGGGACGGGGATGCGCCGCTTCTCGCCGCCCTTGCGCCTTTTCTCGCCGCCGCCTTCCCGGTACCGGCCCCTCCGACCGGCAGCGGCGCCGCCCCCGGCCCAGCCAGGGTAAGGACCGAGCACCGCCGGGGCACCGAGGGACCACGCCGGGCTCCCGGAGAGAACCAAAAATAAAATTGGCAAAAAAAATCCCATTAAATGGTGTGGCTGGTCTGTGCTGTCCCCACGAGCTGCGTGGCACCCACATGAATCACAAAGACCCCCCCCAAAGTGGGGGTGGGACCCCCCAAAGTGGGCAGGGGACCCTCAGAGACCCCTCCCCGTGGGCCTGGGCACCCCAGAAATGGGGCTGGGAGCCACAGAGACCCCTCCCCATGGGCCCAAGACCACCAGAAATGGACCTGGGACCCTCCAAGACCCCTTCCATGGAGCTGGGACCCCCTGAGACCCCTCCCCATAAACCTGGGCACCACCAGAAATGAGACTGGGACTCTCAGAGACCCCTCCCCATGGGCCCAAGATGACAAAAAATGGGGCTGGGACCCACAGGGACCCACAGAGACCCCTCCCCATAAACGGGAACACCCCAGAAATGGAGTTGGGACCCCCAGAGACTGTCGCCCTGATTTTGTAAGACTTTCTAAGCCTTCTGATGTTTGCGTTCTTGTATCAATCTATCTCACACACTCTCTGTAAACCACTTATTGTTTTGCATTCTTTTATGGAGGAGGAGAACGTTGACGGGCTGTTGGTTTGTGGGCCTGGAGAGGTGGCACTGCCACCCTCCAATCCTCTGTCACCTTTGGGAGTCTATAAATGCTGGAGTCAGAAAATAAACTGCCTTTTTTCTCCTGTCCCGAGAGCAGCAGTGTGTCTGTGTCCCGTTGTCTTGTGTCCTGCAGCGACAAGAGACCCCTCCCCATGGGCCTGGGCACCCTAAAAATGGGGATGGGACCCTCAAAGACCCCTCCCCAAGGGCCCAAGAACACAAAAAATGGGCTGGGACCCACAGAGACCCCTCCCCATAAAGGGGGGCACCCCAGAAATGGGGCTGAGACCCACAGAGACCCCTCCCCATGGGCCTGGAACCACCAGAAATGAGGCTGGGACACCCAGAGACCCCTCCCCATAAACCTGGGCACCCCAGAAGTGGGGATGGGGTCCACAGAGACCCCTCCCCATAAACCTGGGCACCCCAGAAATTAGGCTGGGGTCCCAGAGCCCCCTCCCCCTGCGGTTCCGTTGTCATGACGCCGCCCTGGTGCCACCAGGCATGGAACGCCTGCGTGTCACAACAGAGCCTGGGTTCCATCATTCCTGGCTCTGTGACGTCATGGGGTTCCATGGAGCCCGTGGGTTCTGTCATCGTGCTGGTGTCAGGGAAGCTTGAAATGAAAATGGGATTTAATGGCCTGAGTTTCCCTCCTTTAGGATTGCGATAATCCCAATTTCCGATGGTCCAGTTGCAGTTTCCAATAATCTAATTCAAATTTTCAATAATTCAGCCCCAATTTCCAATAATCCCAATTTCCGTAGCGAAGAAATGATGAGATGAAAGTGAAAAAAAATAACAATCTTTTATTAATAGGCAGGAAATTCTCCCAAAATCCCGGGTTTAGCATCGCCCCGCCCCCACCCCGCCCCCTCGGCTCGGGCCACGCCCCTTTTGGAACGCTCCGCCTCCCGACCAATCAGATCGCTCGGCTGCGCTTTGGTCCCGCCTCCCCGCTGTTTGCTCACAATGTGGAACGCTGCTTGCTCCGCCCCCCACGCTGTTTTCTCGACTCCCATTGGCTGTCGTCCGGGGGCCGTGGCTCGGGCCGGGTATATAAGGCGGCGGCGGGCGCGGGGGTCCCAGTTCGGCACCGGGAGCGGCGGAGGAGCGGAACGGAGCGGAGCGGGAGGAGACCGGGCCCGGCGGCGGTGGACACCGGGGGACCGGGGCGCCCGGACACCGCGGGATCGCGGCGGTGGACACCGGAGCGGTCAGAGCCCCCCGGGGCGGCGGACACCGGAGGATCGCGGCGGTGGACACGGGAGTGGCCAGAGCCCCCGGACCGGGCGGCCGGTCACCCGAGGATCGCGGCGATGGACATGGGAGGATCGCGACGATGGACGCCGGGGCAGCCGGAGACCCCACCGGACACGGAGCCCACCCCAGCCCGCACTCAGGTAAGCACGAACCCAGCCCGGCGGCAGCCAGGGATGCCCTACTAACCCTCTCCTTTTTCTCCACAGCGGCTACAGACGGTCCCGGCCCCCGGTGACTGCACGGGCGCGGAGACCCCACCGGTGACTCCGCTCCATGGAGACCGCCCCCCGCCCACATCTCGGTAAGCACGGACGGAGGCGATCCGGCCCCTCCCGGTAACGGGAAGGAGGCCGGAGATGACCCCATCCATCCCCCCGCAGTGGGCGCAGACGGTGCCAGTTCCCGGTAACCGACGGTGCGGCCGCCACACCGGACACCGCTCCAGCGAGACCGGCCCCGGCCCAGGCTAAGTTAAGCAGAACTGGGACGCCCCAGGTAATGGGGGGAGGACGGAAATGGTCGGACCCCCCCGTTCATCCCCGCACAGGACGGGAGTGGAGCCGAACCGGCTGCTCTATAACGGGGGAGAAGCGGGACGGACCGGGCCTCCCATGACGGAGAAGGACCGAGACCGCCGGTCCCTCTATCCCGGAGGAGGACCGAGACTTTACCGGCCCTTCCATGACCGAGGAGGACCGAGACCGACCGGCCCCTCCTTACCGGGAGTGGAGCCGAACCGGCCCCTCTTTAATGGGGAGAACCGGGACGGACCGGCCCTTCCATGAGGGAGGAGGGCCGAGACCACCGGCCTCCCTCTGTAAGGGGCGAGGACCGAGACTTTACCGGCCCTTCCATGACCGAGGAGGACCGAGACCGACCGGCTTCTCCATAACGGGGGAGAACCGGAACCCACCGGCCCCTCCTTAACGGAGGAGGACCGAGACCGACTGGCCCCTCCTTAACGGGAGTGGAGCCGAACCGGTCCCTCTTTAATAGAGGAGAACCGAGACTTTACCGGCCCTTCAATGAGGGAGAAGGACCGAGACCGCCGGTCCCTCCATCCCGGAGGAGAACCGAGACTTTACCGGCCCTTCTGTGACTGAGGAGGACCGAGACTGACCGGCCCCTCCTGAACGGGGGTGGAGCCGAACCGGGACCAGCCGGTCCTTCTGTAACGGGGGAGGTCCGAGACCAACCGTCCAACGGGGGTGGAGGCTAACCGGCCCCTCTTTAATGGGGGAGAACCGGGACGGACCGGCCCTTCAGTGAGGGAGGAGGACCGAGACTTTACCGGCCCTTCCGTGACTGAGGAGGACCGAGACCGACCGGATTCTCCTTAATGGGGGAGAACCGAGACCAACCGTCCCTCCTGAACGGGAGTGGAGCCGAACCCGTCCCTGTTTAATGGGGGAGGACCGAGGCTTTACCGGCCCTTCAGTGAGGGAGGAGGACCGAGACTGACCGGCCCCTCTTAACGGGAGTGGAGCCGAACCGGCCCCTCTTTAATGGGGGAGAACGGAGACGGACCGGCCCTTCAATGAGGGAGGAGGACCGAGACTTTACCGGCCCTTCCGTGACTGAGGA